CCCAAGGCAATAAATTATGACCGGTCCCTAGTATTCCCTACTATCCTACTGACATGTTTAAAAGACTAACTGCTTCATGAGAAAACAAATTACAATTTACAATCATCGGCAAATACATATAATTTGTTGATGTCGTTGTATTTTGCACATTTATTTTTGATTTTTGGGATTGTTAATGCTGATGTAATTAGCTGTCATTGTTATCTGGACAGTGACGGACTTTTAAAATTTTGTTAACACGAACCACAGTTTTTTTGTTAACGTTTTCAAACAAATTAAATCACCGGCCGGCGCCGCCAAATAAGAGACGCCCTTAAATAAGCGCCAGAGCAACTATTTCGAGTAAACTGGAGACTTGAAAGACGGCAGTATGGTGGAAGGTACGTTTAATCGGACCATTAATTCATGATCAACAAACTACAGTGATACCTCTATTTAGAGGAACCAGGTATAGTCAGCTATGTCGAAGTTTGCACGCAGTAGCGCAATTTTTGCTGCTGCATGCAAACCTGGACATAAGTGGAGACTATAGTCATAAAACATCTTTCAGATCAGGAGCTTCAAACACTCCGAGAAGCGCGGCCGTGCCGAAACACTCCTGGACATCAACACACCAACACAACCAACTTCTCATCGAATGTCATTTATTGGCCACAAACTAAGATAAAAAACCTACTTGATTCAACTTTCGAAAACAGAGGACCAGCCTCTTGACTTACAGTAATTATCTAGAGCCATAAATATTTAAGAACGTAAAGACTATCATTTTAACCTGTCTATAAATAATAAAATATACGGCAAGGTGAAAAAACGTTTTACTCTACAAGGTCAGGTTTTACAAACTACCATGGGAAAGCTCAATTATTATTCTAAAACCTTGACGTGAGTATTATAATTATAACGCTGGGAAGTGAGGGATAATGAAAGCCAGTCGTTTTCTGCTTCTGCTACCTGGAAATTACAGACTAATTAAAGAATCCTAATTTTCCCGCTAGCGGGTTCGCTGGGCACTGCCCTGCAAAAATCTTCAAATTGTCGGCTCCACGTATGAGTAGCCTGCCAGCAAGCTCTCCTATTTGGGCGGGAGAGGCGCGAGGCGCGAGCCGCTAGCCTCTCGCGCGTCTACTTTTCACGATATCCCTCAAATGGAGATCTTGCTCGCAGGCTACGTATGATTGACATCATGTAGTGGTATATTTCATGTTTTTTGAATTCCCGTCGAGCAAAATGTGAAACGTTTTGTGCAGGGACCGTGGAATAAAAAAAGATACACAAGCTGTGTTTCTGAACTGCTTAGATATTATGATAAAAACAAATGGGAATATTCACCCAACTCGTGAAATTTAACTCACATCTTGGCAATAACTTCTTCAACAGATTTAAACATATTGCTTGTTTCTGTTTACTATATACCTTACAGCTACATTCCAGCTGCTAATGTTCACATCATGATTTCAATAAAAAATGCATGAATATGGAAAGGCGAATATAATATTGGATAAGGAAAACTTTTTTTTAAAAGCTAACATGTTTTACTTGAAAACGCACACTGATACTGATTCTACCATAAGAAAAGCTTATAGCATCTTTTCCCCAGAAACGCCTGATACTCAGGCTAAGCAATTGTACACGTTGTTTCCGAAAATAAACCAACCTCTGAAACATTGCAGTAACATACTAGCTTGCTCTGGTATTGAAGAACAAAATTACAAATATAACTATCTAATGGTGAACTGCACAATGCTACTGATATAATTTTAAAATACCAAAACCATAAAAATTGAGGAATTAGCAAATGTAGCCTTTGTTTTTGCTACTTGCACTAATGAGGTACATGTAGTTTACATCAACCCAAAGTAGATACAAAGATAATAATAATGGAAAGAATAGCTTCTTACAAAAGCTAACATCTTGGTACAGTCCTGTACCATACACACAGACGCGGACCTTTAATTTCAAGGCACTGATTCTAACACTGGAAAAGCTTATAGAACTTTACATTTTCTTGTACATATCGCTTCCGAAGATCTACCAATCTTTGAGACATATTTTCAATGGGAACTTCCTGTTATATTTACGAACAAAATTATAACTACCATCTAATGGAGAACTGCATAAATGCATATAACTTACAGCACGAAAACAAAAACCACTCGAGGAATTGAACAATTTAGCCTCTGTTTTTGCTACTTACACTAACTACTTTACATCAACCCAAAGTACGTGCAAAGAAAATTTTTTTCTTTTCCTTGAATAGGTGCCACGTAGAAATTTATGCATGAGAGTTTGGTTTTGAATGTGACTTTAAAGACGTAAAAGGAATATTAGTGTTCAATGAAGGCATTCACACCCTTCTGTGCTGCTGCTAATAAATATCGAGATTGAATTCACTCCACCTCTAAACAGCAACTACATCCTTTCCCCTGCCATATCTTTAAATAATCATTTCACCTTCGTCCAGTCCTGAAAAAGAGGACAAATCCATGACATCAGAGGCATAGCAACTTGTGAGCAAGTTCTCAAGGGGGCAAATGACATCAACGACAACTTGCCGAAGGAGAGGGAGCCTGGGATCTAGATCGAACAGACTGTATGATCCTTGATTGATAGAGACCTTCAGATTCGAGGACGAGATTTGACTTTCAGATTTTTCGCGTATTCTCAAAAATTAGGCACCCGGAAAGCTTCATTGTACTTTTTTTCAGCAGAAAGGTTAGCAAGATTATTTTTATTGAGGGAGGTTAAGCCCTCTCCTAAAGACGAAATGATAAAACTAGTACCATTTGATAACTTGTTTATGTCCAGAGTAGAATGACGACGGCTACCACGTTTTCCCGCGAAAATGATGCTGATGCACGCGCGAGCACTACTTAGTATTGAGAAAATCTCTTCCTCGTAGTCGTCCTCGTCTCAGTACTTTAAGGTCTCTATTATTTACTTCTTTGTAGGCTGCTGTTACGTTTTAATTCTAAGAGGTCATCAAGTAATACTTAAACCCAGCTATAACAAAAATGTAATTATTGTCTGTTGACCTATGAAAGAACACCTTAGAGATCTTAAGGAATAAACTCAACTGTTCTTTTGTGCATTACTGTTTGATATTTTGAATATACCGAAAAAGACAATACTGAAAAGCCAAAGAAAATCTAAAAGAGTATGCCGTTACGCTTGATAAATACAAATTTGTCATTAAACGTCAAAAAAGCTTACTTCATATTTCTCTGCTCTCAGTTTAATTTATTCAATTTTTTTTATTTCCACATTTTTCAAAGTTCTTTTCCATTAAGTGCTTTGTGCTTTTGCTGGGAACATGAATCGGAGATCGAACATGAAGGTTTGACTGTATTAGATTCTTTAATAAGATGAAAGAAAAAAAAAGAAATAATGGCTTAATATTTGTAAATGTACATACCTTCCCACCAATGTAGGGAGATGGTCTCCTGACTGTTTCTACCAAGTTTAGCTGTACTAGGATTCTCTGCAAGGTTTAGATTCCTGGCCTGTTCCTTTTCGCACTTACTCAAAGTAGTATTTGAACATGGCACTTTTAAATCAGAGCACATCTGAAATAAATAATATTGATGATAAATTACTTTTCATGTGTACCACAGGATGCCTAGTCAAAATCAAAGTTTCAGAGGCATGAAAAAGCTAGCAGTCCTGGTATTACTGTACTGCTTCTTGAAATGGCATAACTAATTTTATTGTGATGTCCAATGCCAGCACCATTTATCTGTTAGCCGTTAACGTCGGAATTATACACCATTAAAATACTCCAATCAGCCAATCAGCTTCCAGAATATCACCCAGAGCACCACGTTGCAATGTTTATAATTAAAAGTAAATATTTACATATGTACCGTGAAAGCAGGGACTCCAGACCAGTCTCTTGGAGACTGTGACTGTGACTGTGACACACTTGAAACCATGATGGGGCTTTCTTGTGCAAGGAGGTAGCTGTTTCGTTTTGAGACCCCCAAGTTTTCAGTGGATGAGAGAGGATTGCTGTTGGACTTCGTTAGCTGAAATAAATTAGAATGTTTACTTAAGCTTCTCTGTTTGTAAAAATAAAATTTATGCAAGTCAGCTCGCTCTGAGCCATTACATAACTCTGACCACAGGCTTACCATCATGTTTTTTGTTGTCGACATGGCTAAGCTGTATATCATTGATTATTGATATTTATTATATAGACACGAGTGTTTTACTGGAAAATATACCACTTGTATAAAATTCACAAAAACTACATCCGGGACTCGAATGGTTTATTTTCCATAATCTCACATGTGAGTTTATCGATGACGTAATTTCGGTAATTTCCCCTCAAAATTTGTCAGCGTCTTCCTTTTTGGCAAATAAAAATCTATTATGTTATCGATGTCTTTTTGTCTATATAATAAAAAGAACATTACACGGCAGCTTGAAAATATGAATTTTATTTTCTTCTGGCAAAAACAATATTTTACTCATTCGCTACGCTCGTTCGTAAAATATTGTTTTCGGCACTCGCAAATAAAATTCATATCTTCGTGCCACCATGTAATATCCTCTATGTAGCTAACAAAGGGATGTAACACAAACAACACATAGTACATGTATTTTGGGTGGGGTGTTACATACTCAGACTTCAGTGATGGGAGGATTGCAGTTCTACACAGTATACCCAACAGAAAGCACTACGATGTTGAGCACTTCTACCATAAAAAAAAAAAACTTGAACGAAAATATTCAGCAATGACAATACAACAGAATTCACCACATGGCCAAAAATAAAGTAGCCTACCTTCATTTTGTTCCCAGCAATAGACTTCTTTGGTTTCAAGGACTGGGTTACTTTGCGCCTCCGTCCAATACGAGTAATCACACTCATTGTACACTAAAGAGGAACAACAAGGAATCACCTCTTACATTTCACCTTCAATTTGCTATAAATGGCTAAACAGACTGACTTCACTGACTACAAACACTATTCCAACTACAGTTAAACCACCACCCTGGGGGTACAAGCAAGTGGCCATTTTAATGGAGGTTGCCCACTCAGTTTTTCATAAATTAGCCCAATCTTTAGCAAAAACATCACTTCACTTTGAAATAAACACAGGGCGAAGCAGTATTACCGGTCCACAAACAGTCATCACCTTTTATCTGGGAGTGTATTTTGCTTTATCAGGTTTTTTTTAAAATAAAGCCAAATTAAATGTATCAAGTGTATGAGGGCCATTAATATTTTAATGGATGGCTAGAAGGTTACTCCAGCTGCTTGACAGACGGTGGTTGTTTAATTTAGGTTTCATTTACAATTTTTTCTACAATAAATTACTTCAGGACTTGGATTACAGGCCGCTTAAGAGAGAGTTGCAGCTTAATGGAGGTCTAATGGAGGATGAATACTAACCATTAATGGTCCTTCAATGTAGTCATCACCTTCATCAGATTCTGTCATGTTGTCAGGATGTTGACAGAAGCTTTGTCGTCTTTTGTTGTGTTCAGTGTGCATTTCCTTGTGTTCCTCGCACACAGTGTAGGTTCTTGTTGCCACATTGTAGATCCTCTCAGTAGGAATGCCACTAAATGAGATTCGACGGTTGCTTTTAATCATCCTTTTAAGTTCATGATGTAAAAGTGTCAACTCCTTAAGCACCAGATCTTGTTTGATATTATACTGCCCACAGTTGCGGCAACTGACTTGCTCCTGGGTGATGGCTTCATGTTGAGTAAGAAGATGATTCTGGAGCTGTTCAATAACATTAAGCAGGTCTTGGACCATTTTTTGTTTCATCTCTAGTTCTTTGATAAATTCTTCAGTCTTACGTAACTGCTTGTGCTGTTGTCTCAGTGCCTTACAGTCTAAACACTGTTTAAAGAGAAAACATAAAAGTCAAAAAAATTAATTTAAAAAAATTAGTGCAAGAATAAAATAATCAATTAATAGCCTCAAGGCCTGGGGTGTTTAAAGGGTTGGTGACGCTATTCACTGTATAAATTTCTATTCAGCAGATAACACAGTTTTCTTCATAATACTTATCCAATGGATAGTGATCTGAGTTACCAGTATCCATTGGATAGCGCTATCTAACATTAAATTTTGAACAACTGAGACCAGGATCACATATCTTTTAAGACTTTCAACAAACTGCCAGATTTCTCTCCCAGTTCAGCTTTCAAGCTTTACCTTTCTGACAGCAAAAGTATTCTCTTTATCCTCAACTTGTTTTAAGAGAAATCTTTCAGAAGACTCTGAAGTTGAGCACACAAGGACCTACACAGATAATAAGAAAAACGATTATTACCCTAACATGTTTTTTAAGACAAGGCTTATATTATTATAAAAGTGATAAATTTACTATAAAACTCTGATTTACATGTAGCGATACTTAACATTTCAACCTTAATCAGTAAACCGCATTACCTTTTCATCTTTTGACTGTAACACTTTTTTAACCGTCAAATTCTCTGGGTTTAGTGAGCAGGAGGAATAAAGAGTGCAGTCACTGGTGACAACATTTTCCAGTTTATATGACAGAGGTAACAATGATGGAAACAGCGATATCAACTTCTTGGCTACATCAGTGCGTCTTATGTGCAGTAATGCGGAAAACAGCACCTCAGGTGTCGCAGAAGCACCATTATCTTCTTTCCATTTGAAAAGAAGCTGAATCGCCTTTTCGCTAACACCACTGAAGTCTTCATTAATGTTGTTAAGAACACACTCCTTTATTAGTAAATGCCTTCCAAGCTTTCTCCAAGAGGCTCCAACATCCTCATTTATATCATAAAATAATGATTGCAAACAGGGTGGAGAAGGAGTAGTCAAGCTGCTATCTGCAAAGTAATCATCCATGGACCCACTGTCAGTACGTTTTCTTTACAAAAGAGTCAGAGAAATCTTCAACTGGGATCAGCTCACCTATATATAGTAGATACCTTCTAACTAATGTTATTAGGGAAAACTAGATATGGTCTAACCCATAATTATCTGGAAAACATTTTTGGGAAATTCTATCCCTGCATCTGTGTTTTGAAAATATGCTGAAAGCTTCAATATTATTCTAAACAATGACTCCCAGCGCCATTAACTATAATATCAAAATGTTCGTCATAGAATGCTCTTCTAAATACAGCAATAAAATATGAAAAAGGATTTATTGTCAATATTTTACCAAATCGTTTACAATTACAACTCTCAAAGGGCATTCGACTTCCAAAGTTGCTTCATCATATCAAGTCAATCACTATTACATGTAGGAGTCATTAGAACTACTGGTAGTTTTCCTTTGCTGGAAGATTTATCTTCAGAATTGCAAGTTTTGATCCATGTTGAAGGTCAGTTGAAGAGAATAACACCTAGCGCAATTCCTTAAAGCTGACTACAGATGACAAAAACTGGGATTTTACAGCAGTTAAAAAATCAGTAGATTTTATGCAAGCTGCCACTCAAATCCACCGCAAAATCAAGTCACAACAACACCTTCCTATAGAAAGCACTGAAACAGTCCAAGGACCAAATCATAGAACTGGAGAGAGAGTCTACCCAAGGGGGGTCCTTTCATACATACATGTAAAATTGCCAGTTTCAGGGTTAAATTTACACAAAAGCTGATGTTGTGGTCATCCCCCCTCCCCCATCAGTACTCCCTTTTATGGGTATTTAATCTACTTAAGGCTGCAATGGAAAGACAAGAAGGATTGTTTACCATTTACAATGGCAAACCGGTCGGTTTATGGGTGGTTTGGGTCAATGGTAAGCATTAAAATTCAGAACTGGTAAATATTTTCCAGGAATCACGTTTACCATTTGAACAAATCAGTTCCATTTAAGGAAAAACAACTAAAAAGGCCTGAAACTGGTATCAAAGATGGCTTTTAAGAAATGGAACAGAAATTTCCCTTTGGAACATTCCATTCTGGAAAAAACAGGACTGCCTTTTCAGATGTTTGGTTGCTTCCAGAAATTTTCCACTAGGACAACCAAAAAAGTTGAGTTCCATTTAGTTTCTGACCAGGTGGTCCAGAGACTTTTAGTGCATGGTAAACAACCAAGGATTTGACGTCCCACCCAGAAATCAAACTCAGGACCTGCCATGGAGAAGGCTGCGCACCAACCAACAGTACAAATCCTTGCTTCTGCCTTTAAACTAATGCATGTCTGACTGGTGTCTAATTTCACTAACACTATACTCACTTTCTGGACATGAGAACAAACGTCTTTGTGGATTTGGTGATGTATTGAAGGGTCTAGTAGGAGTCAAGTCAAACAATGAACTTCCATGTACTTCAGTGGATCGGGGTGAAGCCGAAAATACACTAGAGTCATCACTAAACGATTGAGACATATCAAGTGGACTGTCGACTAAGCAAGCTTCAGCAACACGACTGTCATCTAAAGATAGGGGACGACGGGATCTGGAGCGCAGTAATGATGATTGATGAACCATCCAACGACACCTGAGACTTTCATTGTGAACAATACATTCTGACATGTTATCTAGAAAAAATATTCATAACAGAACAGTTTTTTTTACTCTTTACAAAACTTGAAGTTGAAGGTGAAGGTAAACTAGCGATTTCAGTAGATTAGTTGACAATAATAATCAATAATCAATAATCAATAATAATCAATAATCAATCAATAATCAATAATCAATAATAATCAATAATCAATAATCAATAATCAAAGTTGATAGAAATGAAAAGTGAGCTTCCTTATGTATTCTATAGGCATTCTATTTCAAATATGACGCGGCATTTCCAGGTGAGGTTACTTTAATAATATTTTTAACTAGGGTTAGGAGACAAAGAAAATTGCTAAACAACAGTCCCACTCACACCAAACATTAAACAAGTCATAATTAAAGGCTGTTTAGTTAAACACAGTTTAAATTGTTTTCTTCATAAAAGCTGCTTACTGACTTAGTTAATTGCAAATTTAGTGCAAATTACAAAACATATTGAGTTTCATTTGAATCCTGTGTGAAAACCTGCATTCCAGTTTTCAGTATCTGCGTTTCATTTTTAAAAGCCTGGTTTAATTAAACATGTTAAGTTTGTGTGAATGGAGCATTAGGCTAAGAAATTAAACCTGAAATTATTTAACTTTGACTTGTAACATACTTTTTTCAGATATCTCTCTTTTGAGGATTTAATGAGGCCAAAACCAAATGTGTAATTGCATACATTTTACGCATCCTACCGAAGAACAGTTTCAACTTTTAGATATTTTGAGCTACAACAATTTGCAGTCTGTCCTCTTTGAATTGATTCATTATCTAATTAGAGCTGATAGATCGTGAGGACTTAATTTTTACTGCACAACAAATTCTGTAAAATCTATATTCACACAAAACCAGCACTTAATTAAATTCAACCTTATAGGCTACAAGCTAAAACTCTAACACAATTCACAAACAGTAATAGGTTGAATACTTGCTTTATACATCGAGAATTATAGATTTTACCTACAAAGTATTAAATTATACACAGTATCTTGTAAACTGTGCAATATATTTTGCACCATTTCTTGCCTTCATGAAACAGATTGTTTGCAAAGCTACTTAAGGCAAGTTGTGAAACATTAGCAAACAGTCCACATCTCTGTTTTTCAAGCATACAGCTTCAATCATCCACAAAAATCTGTGCCATATGTTCCTAGTATTACTCCAACACTGTACAATTTGTCAGCTGCACAACAGTCAGGGCTGTCATTAAGAAGCAGGGGCCAGGGATTTCCCCTGGCTACTATTAAGGACGTGGCCCTCAGCTACTTTCATAGGAAAATAGAAGAAAAATAGAACCAAAACAAATCCCAAGCTGCCTACTTGTTGTATTTACCCAGCGACTTGAAATCTTAGTGACAGCCCTGCTACAGTAAAAGTGAGACTGCTTTTTGGATTTTCTGGCTTAAAAGCTTTCATGAAATATATAACGCAGCACAAAACTGGATAATTCACTTGAGTTTAGTGCCATATTGACCATCTGATTATCCCAAAGGGTTTAAAATCCCATTTACAATATTCTACTGAGTTGGCAATATACTCTTTTGATTATTCAATTTCTTGGTTAACAAGGGAAGATTGACTGAGATGGTTCTGACTTCCACACTTTGCAAACAATTATTGGACAGCAAACACTTCAGGAGATTACAACACATTGAGCATTTTTACAATTTTATTAGCTCAGTGGTTAACAGTTTAATATTAATTATAAACACAATGTGCAGATTACAACTGTTGGTATACTATATTGTATTGTGCAGTTTACAATATAGTGATATCAAGCATATGAACCAATAAATAAAAATGTGGCATTTGTAGCAGAACACTAGTAGAGTTTTACTTTATGTACAGGAATTTAGCAAATATGAGAAGTAAAGATGACAAGAAAATAATCTTTAAAGTTTTTACTCTACATCTCTACTACAGCCTCAGCAATAGTTTTATACTCACCAAGTTGGGTAGAATACAATAACAACCGAGATGATACTAAATTTTAACAAAATGTCTCCTATAATTAAGATACTTTTGTTGACTTTGAGCCAATGATTTGGAGATCAGAGAAAAAGAAACAAAACTTACAGCAGCATGAATTCAGCATCTGTGAGCTTAATTTTCCATCATGGCAAAATAACTCTGATGTGCTATTTCTTAAGTATTTTTTCCTTAAAAGGGAAGAAACAATTGGTGGTAGAAAACCCTTTGTGAGACTCAGTAATGCCATGGCAACAAAAATAGACCATTTCTCAGAAATTACAAGATCAAAAACTGCTTACATCGCCATACTTTTCACTTGATCTGTCCCATGACCATTACGAAGTTACACTTTTTTAGAGGTTTGGCTAAAAGCCATTTAACAGATCAAATTTTAAAAAAATATCAAATTTCATACAAACTTTTCCATCCACACACTTAGCACTTCCTGTTAGTCCAGACTTTCCTTGCTAATTTACATAAAAACTTTCAAAGTTTTACATTTTACAAAGCTGATATGTGCTACATCAGCAATTTAAAACTGATCGTTGATAAAGCACAGTTCTAGAACCGTTTTATCTGATTGTCCTTGTAAACTATAAATTCAAAACTAATTAGCAAGGTCTTAAGTGACATACAGAACTCACTTAGCATTAAAATCATTTAACTGGTAATGAATAATGCTAATGAAGTTATCAAAAGATCAAGCAAAATATACAGGGACTTAACGAACAAAATTGATTGGCAAATTAAAGTCCATCCGATTATAAAGATAACGGCGACTTTTGTAAAGCATAGACGAGAGAAGGCTTTCAAAGTTCAACGCTTTGAAAGAATCAGCTTATTCAGTGCTTCACGGCGACTGTCGAAGGTCTCACGGGGTGCATAAAATTAGATAAAACTATCGACTTACGACCATTTGACTTTTCATCTGTTATTTAGGTTATGGCAGAAACAACTGCGCTAACACTCTTGAACAAAATCCCTTGGTCGCTTTTGTTAAAAAATATCTGCTCGTTTCGAGTTTGCAAGCCCAACAATATTAACAACAATATTCACTGCACATTTTTCAGAATCTCCGAAGGGGCAAAAGATTCACAGAAGTCATGGGTTATTCTCATAAACTAGTAAGCTTAAGTCTAGTCCAACCTGTCAGTCCACTCACCTGTCGAGCAAGAAGAGCTTCTTGGAGCATTTGAAGCCAGGCTTGCAGACGCCATATTTAGTTGTTTGTAAAAGTGTTAATAAAGACTTCCTGTCCCATGAATCTTGCAGATTACGAGATTTCTTTAACAAGCAAGTTGCTCTACCTTTCCTGCAAACCTTCCCTTAACCTTCCTTTGAGAATAAGCCATCAATTTTCCGCATTAGCTTACATTTTGTTCGAAAAGCGACCGTAACTAGAGGAGTCAGTGGAAGTGTCTAGCCACTACGTCATCATCCAGCTATAAATAAACTGGCAGAAGACCCTGGGCATGGGTCCGTCGAATCGGCGCAAAATGGCACGGAAAAAAGTTTTTAGGTATGGTTTGCACTCTCGACTCAAGTTTCTTCAAAGATTGAAGAAATGTAAGTTTAGTAGATTTATTTTGTATGAAGTTACTGAGGTCGTAGCTTTCTAATGAACATTCCCCACCCCACTCCCCACGTTTAGTCAATCATCTTTGAGTCAACAGGACACACGTCAATGACCTTTCCTCTCGTTCGAGCGTGAGCAAGTATCTTTTGTAATATTAAGTATATAATAAGGGTCACTAGGGGCAAGGGAAATTTCAACTCAATACGACTTCCTTTCCTAGAAGAAACTAGAACAAACAAAATATCTACAGTCTGATCCTGGTAAAAACATAAAATTCGTCTTTTACTGTGCTTTTGACCCGGGGGGGTGGGGGTAACTCTCTTATATAAGCCATATAGGTATGTGCCGCCCCATCAGGTAGGGTTCTTGCGCCGTTTTGGTCCGAAAACGGGTATACACTTTGCTCATTTTGGTCTGGATTCGGTTTATGGTTTTCCAGGGAACTGTGGAGTGTATGAACGTATTTATCGTTTCAATTTCAAGTGACTAAGAAAGAAAGAGAAATATGCGAATACGAAATGGATTTGACCAATTTGTTTGTTTGCTCTCTAATCTAAGTAACGATAACATAATGTCTGCCTAAAGGCAGGTCTGAAAACGAGTATGGATTTTAGAGTTCTAGTCTGACAACGGGTGTGGAAAATTACATTTTTTGGTCTGAAATTGGGTCAGGATTTGATGAACCGGGCAACACACCCCCACCAAGAATTCCCAGGAGTCCCCCCCGGGCTTTTGAGAACCGTAAATTGTATCTCTTCAGATTAGGTTGCTTTACCTTGTGTGTTTTAGAGTTAGTAGTGTTGAGTTCCAGCCACACCTGTAACCTTGGCAAATGGGCCGAGTCGTTACAGAACTCAAACCACCGGAAGTTTGTCCCAGACAAACTCTTTAGTATTAAAAGGGCGTCTCAGCTAGAAGTCCGACTACAGCAGGGTGGGGTGGTTGAGTGACTTGCAAATACGCTTGGAACAAAAACAATCTAAATGGAGTTAAGAGTTGAAAATTTACGCCAAAAATAAATTAGGAGTCAAAATTCGATCAGTAAAAGGCTTGGAGGAAATGATTCTTGCCCGAACGAAATTACCCTAATCCGCTCAAAAGTAAATATTGATTGGCCTTTATATATACGCCCATACGCCGGACGCCATCAGATTCGTCTTATATTACTGAACACAGGTTCCCGACCGTTGAAACTCTAGTCGTACGGTAGTTCACACCCTAACCACTAAGGAGCCTAAGGAATCTGCACCTGATATAAATATTGGCCTATAATAAATCAGGCTTTTGCCGTCGCCCCAGCCCTGCATTCAGTTTTGTGAGGTTTTGTGATATAAATGGTTATGGGTTTTTTAGCAAACTAACCAAGTTGTACGTCGTTAATGTGTGTTTTATGGATGACTGTGCTGGTGGTGGGGGCGGGGGAGGGAGGAGTGGGAAGAAGTGGGGTCGGGAGATGTTTTGTTTTGGTCTTTGCCCGGATGCGTCCATGCGACCTTATTGAGTACAAAAAGTTGCAATTTTTGAAACTGTTATTTGTTTACCTACGAAACTTAGGAGTTCTTAAGAACTCGTTTAAATGTGCGTTCTACATCGAATCAGAATTTGTTGGTTTTTGACGACCGGGGGAAAACCGGAGTGCGCGATAAAAACCTCTCGGAGCAAGGGAGAGAACCAACAACAATCTCAACCTAAATATGATATTTACGCCGCGATTTGAACCCGGGCGCCATAATTGATGAGAGGGGAGTGCGAGTCTCACGGCTGCTCCAGCCTTGCTCCCCAAATTTGTTGAAGTACATCGTATGAAAGGAGATTACCCGGTAGATTTAGCACAGACAGCGAAAAGTTAAATAATGAGAATATGAAAGGGATCAGAAAAGACCTCCTGCTATTCGGGAAATTAGTCGAATCGGTCAGGAGCCTATTGGACGGTTTACTACATGGCTCAAATATTCGCCCATCGCCCAAGTCAAATTGCGTACTTCACCCCAATGTGAACGCTGATGACGTCAGGTAGCTAATATCTTTGCACAACCGTTATTTATCCCTTATGCCTTGAGCTTTTGGGAGCTAATAGAAATTCTCTCAAACGCAGCGATCTATAACTTGTACAAGTTAAGTAATCGGGAAACAGAGAGCTTTAGATTCGAGGACAGGAACGACTACGAGTACAAGACTTGATTTAAAGTTTTTTCGCGCATTGTCAAAAAATGGATATCCCGGAAAGCTTCATTGCACTTTTTTTCACCAGAAAAGTTAGCATTGTTATAGTTATTGGAGGTTGATCGAGCCCTCTCCGGATTAAAAAATGCTGAAACTTCTAACATTTGATTACTCGTTCCCGCCAATACGACACTCTAACTCGTAGTAGAATGACGACCGTGACGGCTACCACGTTTTCCTGCCAAAATGACGCTGGTTGACGCGCGAGCACTACTTAGTATTGAGAAAATCTCGTACTCCTAGTCCTTGCGTTCTCCTCTTAGAATCTGAAGCTCTCTAATGACTTAAGTGTTGTCATTTGCGTCATCAGAGTCGTGTGAAATCATTCGGCTTCGTAACGTCTTTTTTTTAAGTAATCTTTTTGCTGAATAAGTAGTTTTCCTTCTCAATAGGGACTGCAAAATCCTTATGTTATAAAAGAAGACATCGTCACTCAGACCCAGTTTACAAGGATCCGGAGAAATTTTTGAACGGGCAAAAAATTGCACGAATCCGCCTTTACACGTTTCTGGGAAACTACCCACCTAACCCTTCCTTAAGCCAACATTTTGTCCTAAGTTAGTAGTGAGTGTTAGTGTTGGCTTAGGGGAGGGGTAGGTGGGCAGTTTCCCAGAAAAGTATAATGATCGGAAATCTCTAACAGAATTTAAAACAGGTAAAAAATTAGTCCGCTCAAAAAATTGTCTGGAGCCTTGTAAAAGGGGTCTCAGTCCGTTCCATTAAAAATGGATTAAAACCAGCCATATATTGAGGGTTGCTTGTGTGAGATCATTATTCAAATTACGATATTCTGTAATGATTTAAGTATGTGCAAGGGGATTTTGATACAACTCTCTTTGACTTAAAGATGACTACCGCACAGGTTGTCGAAACGTCAGTCACTGTCAACAACAACAGTCCTATTCAGGACTACGTTCACCCGGACGATGAAACTTAACCTACTTTTGAAATGACTCCTGGGTTCAAACCTTTTAGCAAAATTATTTAAGTCCAAATTTCTTTGACACGTCAGTTCTGCTGATTACGAAAATTGACAGGCTCATGACGTCAAGAGACAAAAAACAAGATTTTATTCACGGACATCTGGTTACCTTTTAACAGCGGTTTGAGTTTGTGAATCAGTGTCCCAAGTCATGCACGTGTTCCTTAATTAACGTCATAATTACTTAATCATCGTCACAGCTCGGTTTCCGAGAGAAGACGATTCGTGTGCCAAAATGGCGGCAAATAATAGTATTCTAAAAAAATCACGTTGTGTTTAAGTTGCCATAATTTTTTCAAACAGTTTTAGGTTATAGGCACGTTAAGAAACTAGCAATACTAGCACTTAAGTTTCACTTTGACGAAATTCAGCTTCTTTATTGGACAGGCATTTGAACGATCCGTTTCGCAGGGGAGAACCCTTGGTTAAACAGAGAAAGTTGAATCTTAGGTGTCGGTTTTGAGAGTATTTTATTTTGTTGCAGGCATTTTTGATTAATAAGTTTGGCAGAACCTCATCAATATCCACAGCTTAGAGTACGTTACCACTTACAAAATGAAATCACTTGTCCCCCAAAATAAATACGATTACACCCATCTTTAACATAGGTCCAGATACACTGTAACTTCCTAATTTGACGTAAGTTCTTTAAGTACTTAAAATATCTGATGTACAAGTTTTCGGTTTGAATTAGTGCACATATTGAAAAGTATTAAATGACTTCTATCCTTATTTTACAAACGCTGATTTTTCCAGAAAAGTCTAACTCATCACTGTACTGCTCTGCAAAGAAAGATAAACTTGGAAATCTTGGAGGAGTTAATCGCAAATATAAATTATCTCATTATCATTTGTCCTTTACGATAACCAATGTTTTACAAACGGATACCAATCCTGTGCTATTAACAGAGAGAATCCAGAGTTTTTATAGTGCTACAGCGAACTGTTTGTGTTCAATATTATTCATTTCTTAAATTTTTTTAGTCTAAGTAAATTTAATAGTTTCTTTAACACTATCTGTAATTTTGAAATTGCACACCGTCAACAAACGCATTTTAGAAAAATGTGAATAATAATTCATAAGTCATCGGTAAAACGCATTATTTTCAATATCTAGAGGCATTTTACGTCAGGCAACGCGGAAATAGTGATGAAGGTTTAATATGCCAATTTCATACTATACTTTGAGTATATAATTCATGTAACGTATGGACTTTTTTCGAAATTATTAAAAACGATAAGAAATTTCCCATTTAATATTGGTTCATATTGAAGCAATATCGACTGACAATCGACAATTCACGTCAAATTTTCGCCACATCGGTCACGTTTCCAGGGCCAATTTTCCGAGAATGAGGTTGGCAATTTCTTTCTAGTGACCCAGAGACCCACGTGGAACTCCTAAAGTGACTTGAGAGACTTCATTTACATTTTCGCTATTCAATATTGTGTAAATTACGTTTCGCTTTGCTTAGCTATATCAAATCCTACTTCAAACAAATACCTTAACTGTTTAACAATGAGGACATTTTGGGATAATTTTTCATTGAACTGACATAGTTCTTTGTTGGCGATATCTCGAAGTGTAATAATCCCATTTAGGCCGCGCTCCCTTAGCCCTAGCTGTTTCATCCCAGATATGAGCCTTCTTTCCAA